TGCCTCAGAGACTCCATCAGTTAGTGACGAGCAAATGAAATGAATAAGGAGGATAACTTGCTTTTCAAAATTAATCAGATTTAATAATAAAAATTATATGCACCCTGCAATAATTCCTACAGGACATAGCATTTCCTTTGTTATTTCATGTAGATTTTAGGAGACAAAAAATTCTATGATGCCATACTAGCTATTTGGGGCAAGGCAGATAGGGGTCCTATGCAGGAGGACAAATTGCCTGCCTTGTGTGGGTGGAAGCAGATGGGGATCAGTGGTGCCAGCAGCAGGTTCATCCTCAGCCAGTCCTAATGGCATAGCTTTGTATGGATGCAGCTACCACTGCAGGACAATCATAGGCCTTATGCCATACATGAGGTGCTCTAAAGTACCAGGAATAGGAATAGCAATAATAGAGCTTTCTTCTTGACTCCCCCTTTCTACAACTGCAGAAAGCTTTCACAGCTTCTTCTCTCTTTTGTTCTGCTCAAGAAGAAATAGAGGGGTAAAGTTTTCTCCTGGAAGGATGGAAGGTTCTGTCTCTTCAGAGGAGAAGAGTAGCTCTTCAGTGGGAAAAACAGGCTGGGGAAGAACAGAGAGATTCCCATCTATAGATTCCTGTTTCCTCCACCAGTCCCTGGAGCATGACTGAGTGCTTCCACCTTCCTACTGATTCCTTCTTGAGAACACTTGGTAGTCTTTCTCAAGTGCTTCCTGAACTCTTCTTTTGCTTTTACTGCTGATCTGTGCCAGTCTATTTTATCTCAGTGGAATTAAAGGGTAAGGATAAAGGTAATACACGGGAAAACCAAGAGCCAGAGAATAATTCATCAAAGAAGGGATTTCGAATACAAAAAGGAACCCTAAGAAAGTCCCAGTATTATCGCCTTGTGAACCCATATAATTACATCAGCCTGAACCATACATTCATCAGGTCAGCACTTAGTTTTGGTACAGGAACCTTCTAATTATAAGCTACAAGATGGCTTATGCAGTAAACAATTTAATGAGTAGGTGACACTCTTTGCCCTGAACCACTCTTGAACTGTGACTCAGAAAGTGCAGAAGTGGTATGCAGTAAAATAAGTGGGATGTGTTCATCAGCAGTATGCTTCCCATCATTGTTGAGAAGCATATTCACTTGGACACTGGCTGTTCCATAGCTCAGCAGAGCTAACTAAGATGGAACCCTGAGGGCCAGCTGAACGGAAGTGAATGCAGCTCCCTCTCCAACTTCACAAGCTCAGAGGAGAGAACTGCCCAGGCTGGGTCAAACTCTGCATACCTTGTTTGCTCACCATAAGCAGAGGGATGGAGACAATCAATTCTTCTTTCACAAATCAGATGAATAATTAAGAGAATGTCTCTTAATGCACCATGTTCTTATAAAGTGCATAAGCTGAATCCTCTTCCATTTTCATCTGGCTTCAGTTAATTTCTGCAAGAAGGTGTATATATTTTATATAAGCATAAATAAATAAACATGTTCCCTATTGATTTGTCTCGTTCCACAAGTCATTGCTTTCTCTTCCCTTCAGTTCTCATATTATCACAGCCTCCATGAAGACCTCTCCAGGGCTGCAGAGGACCTGATTCTCTATCTGGGATCTAAGAAGTCATCCATAGTTTCCTTGGCATGGGGACAGTGCAGTCAGCATGCCTTCTCTTCCCATGACTCTGCCTCCCCACAGCCCCCATCAGCAGGGCACAAATTTTATATAAAGCTGTTTCTGCACTCCTTGTCCATGTGCCAACCAAGGCAAAAGGAACCCAAGGACTGAGAGCTGAATATGGATTAATTTAGATAAAAGGCAAGAAATAAATAGGGAATGCATGGCTACACTCCTATGGATGTGTTTAGGAGGGATACTTTAATAAATATACCTCTAAATCTATCCTTAATATCCCTTCATTTTCATTAGTAAAAATATAAGCCATGTCACTGGCTGTATCCCCTTACTCCTAAGAAATAAAACCTGTGTGTACATTAATTACACAAGTAGCACCAATGAAAAGTCAAAATCCATTCACAATACAGTTAGAAGAGATTTAACTTCTAGTGTTTTTTGATTATTTAGAAACTGTAAAAGTAATCACTCATTAGTAAGGGAATCCTATGCCAAAAGTGATATAGAAATAGGTTTATTTCAGAATATGAAGGGCTCCTTTGATTGAAAAAAATACAAATGTTAGTGTAAGATTAGAATGCAAGGTCAGTGTTCTGAAACGGAAAACCTATGATAAGAGGCAGTGTTAAAAGTAAAGCAGCCAAGTAATAATACTAGATTCCAATGTGTGGTTGTCCTTGTCCAGCTCTTCTAAACTTCATCGTGCATGTTTTCAACAAATAATTTACCTCATTTCCCAGAAAAATAAACTTCTGCCTCTCCAGAACATTTCTCGATTGTGCAAAATTCAGTCTGAATAACTTTTACTGGGAATGGTAGTATTGCGTGTGTCAGTGTAACACTCTGAGAGGAGAGAATAACGTACAGAAAACTAAAAACAGAAGAAGGAGGCAGGGAAAAATATACAGCAATAAAAAGATTCCAGATACAGATGTACAGTGTGTAGGTTTTGTCATCAGCCATATATGCGGAGTGCAGTTTTTCCTGTAAATCAGGGAAAAGCCACATCTGACACACCTATCAGGCAAAACAAACAAACAAACAAACAAACAAAAAAAAACTCTTAAGAAAGGAAGGCAGCATTCACTGCATAACAGCAACACCAAGTCAATTGCCAACTCAAAAATTAGCAAGTATTGAGAATAAATGAGTATTTGAACAAAAAGATCAAATAATTGCCATTTGAGAAGATATCAAACTTCTTTCTGCTCCTACCTAAGTCACATTTATCACCTTGATCACTCTGTGAAATGAAGACATCCTTTAATACAATTCCCAAAAGTAGTTAACGTTTTACCTAGGGGCTGTACCAGACAAGAGCAGTTGCAAATTGTCCTCCCCACTTTCAGTTCTTTTATGGCACTGCTAGGCTATGGATAAAATGGTTTTCATATACAAAGGGTTATTAGGTTAAAGCAAATGTTTGAACTGCAGTTTTGCTAGTGAGAATTGCCTTCCATATTCTGAAGACTCAGTGAGTTAAATGTATAAAGATACATAGGGTGCCAAGGTGATCGGATGAGAAGTAATGGCCTCAAATTGCACCAGGGGACGTTCAGGTTGGAAAGTGGGGAAAAATTCATATCAGGAAGAGTGGTGAGGCTACCACCGGAACAGTGAAGTGGAAACAGTCTGCCCAAGGAGGTGATGGAGTCACTGTCTATGGAGGTGTTCAATACATGTGTGAATGTGGCACTGAGGGACGTGGTTAGTGGACATGGTGGTAATGAGTTGATGGTTGGACTAGATGATCTGAAAGGGCTTTTCCAACCTTGTTGAGTCTATGATTCTGTTACCAGGTAGACAAGTCTATACTATGAATGTACACTGGTAAAATTCCCTGTGTCAGGGTATGGAATGTGGCTTTTCAGGTACTCAGAGCACCGTTTCTTTGTTACATAATAATAATAATAATAATAATAATAATAATAATAAATAAAGTGTACTGCAGAAAATGGGGCCCTTATTTATTGATGTGAACAGAAAGCTTCAGCTTGATCCTTAGTGGCTGAGCTTCCTCTCATGCAAGGCAGAGGAAAAGGAGCACAAGTGCAGTTTGTCCAGACATCGTTAGGCTGAACACCACCTTCAGAGAACAGCTGCTCGATCCTGAACAGGATGCTGAAAACACACCCCAGAGACGATGTGACTGCAAACAGCTCTTTGGATCTCAGGCTACAGACTGTGCCAAGTGCTCACTGGGCATAGCTGAGTATCAATCAGCTCATTGTATTTCCTTGCATATTTCTATTTGTGGTCCTATCTATAAAAGCAGACACTTTATCCAGTAAGCTACGCAGTCTTTCATAACCATCTGTGGGGAATCTGCAGGTGTTAAATTAGCTGCAGGAGGATGCCCATATGTTTCCTGCATGTGATAGGCACAAATTGAGAGTTACAACAAAAAAAGCCATTGCAGATTGCACACAGTTAAGGCTAAAGGGCTCAAGCCGAGATCTTTAAGTAAAATTGCACACAAATGAGATGTAATTTACTGCACTGCTTCAGATTAAAACAGACAACAAGAAATGCAATCTTCATTTCCTAAAGTAGTTTTCAGGGCTTATGTTTGTAAGTGGGAACCCAGTCCTGGGCAATGCTGAGCAGTCTCAGTGTGCTGGCCATGAGCCGTGGGGCTGTTCAGCACATCTCAGGAGCAGGCCTTTGTAGTCATTTCATGAAACTTTTTTGCAATTTGTCAGTTTACATATGATTTATATCACCGTACTGTAGAAGTCAGAGTCAGCAGTTGCTCCGTAGCTACTAATGGGAGTTATTTATTATTACTGTATAGAAAGAGCCAAAAGGCAACAAGTACCTACCCTGTCTCAGTTTGAAGGATGAATGCAGTTGGATATATTTTTTTAATAGACCTTACTTGTCTCTCCTTCTCTTTTTTTTTCTTTTCTTTTTCTTTTTCTTTTTTTTTTTTTTTTGGCTTGTTCTGTGATGAAAAGCAATGTAAAACAGTTGAAAAACAGATAAAAATGAACAAGAATTGATTTTTTAAGATAGGCAGAAGGAAAAATGACACACAAATACAAGCATGCATAGCTATTTTGCAGGTACAGTCATATGTCATCTCACTAATTCTTTTCAGGGTCTTGAATTCAAGTCTATATGTCTGGAAAACCTGCCATTTTCACATTAAGAAATGTATTTATTAAGGCAGTTTTTAAAAGCATACATTAAGATTAAGCAAACGTCTACAGTAGAGATCTATGTCAGGTGAGTATTCTATCAACAGACCCCCTGAACGTTACAGCCGAGGGCAGAAAAGACCTGCGAGGTTTGAGAAAATTTTGCAGTTTTTAATATTTATGCAAAAGCAAATAAAACAAGCTATTACACGTGAGCATTTTTCTCTGTGCACAGAAAAAACGTAGTTGATCCGGAGGATCCACGGTGCGCCAGACTGACACTCACAGGACAGATGGTCACAGTGCCTCCAGAGGAAACGGAATTTGCCAAGCAAGCAATGTTTTCTAGGTCTGTATGTGATATGCATAGAGTATAGTACAGCCTGCAGTTTTGAGACAAATATATAGATGTGGCCATTTGGTATGGAAAAGCTGAGAAGTAACAAGCCTGATTTACTTTGGGGACAACAAAGTATGTTGAGCCTTTGCTGCTTTGAAACAACAGGCAGAGCTTCACAACCTCCTTTTACCTACTGAGGCGAGGAATATGGAGACACAGTTACTAAATGTTAGATGTAAGTAAAATATGTGTTTTGTAATCTTGTGGCTCTGAGGAGAGATTCCATGAATACGGGGTGCATTTGTTAAGTGGGACACTGCATTTAGTAATTTTTCCTCACCACAGCACAAGAATTGCTCCCAATCCTGACAATAGCCAGAGCAGAGCTCTGCTTCCTTCCAGTTACCAGCCTGAAGCCTATATGCTTCTGTGATGCCAAACCTAATGATTTGGAAACAAAATTATGGATTGTCAGCTTCTCATCTCCTGGAAACTTTGCAATCTGATAGCAAATAATTTGTCCTTTCCAACATTGCAGTTCTTGACACCTTTAAATGAGCTCCAGTGGAGAATAAAAGTGCGTGCTGTCAGGCTGTCCTGAGAGAAATATAGGTCTTGTAGCAAGTGGTTGCAGAAAGAGTCTGTGCACAAGAACTGCTTCCAAAGCCATAATATTTACAGAACACAGTCTCCAGTCAACAAACACAAGCACAACCCTGACACCATTCACCTCACATCCAGTGTGTGCCCCACACCCTCAAGTGAGACCTGTTTTTATCAGAATAATAGGCATAAAAAGCCCAAACCTCAGTTGGGACACACCTACAGCACAAGCTGCCAGGGATGGTCCTTTAGGCCATGTCCTGCCCAGTACAGCAAGTACTGTGGGGAAACTGGGATGTGCTGACATCTGGCATGGCCCAGATGCAATGTTCTCTCTGGCCTGCTGGGAGGGATCTGGGTGAACAGGTTTTAATATAGGGTGGCATGAACAACAGGGTCAGTCTTGAGAGAATGAGGAAGCTGCAAGAGAAAGGCCAGCAGGGCAACTTAATTTTTTACAGGTCTAGGTAGTGGTGGTCCAGCATAGAAGAGGGGCACACCAAATGAATGTGATCACGGGATAACCAAACACAGTCCCCCACCGTAAAGTCCAGTGTTGCTGACCAGTGCTTCTAAGAAGCCTTTGTTTTTTCCGATGCTCTGTAAAGAATAAACATATACACTGCAGCTGCTCAAAGGAGTCCTCAGGGAAAAACCCCTGGGCAGCTGCCAAAATAGCTGGGTGGTCGTGGAGATGAATGTAGTTGACTGCAAGGAAGAGGGCACTGCTCTGGTGGTAATTAATGGAACAACAGAGAAGCTGCTCCAGGTGATCACCTGGAGGTGATGCAGTTGGAGGGCTCAGCTGCACCCTCAGCAGAGCTATAAGCTTCTCCAGAAGTAGGCAGTAAACTTTCCACAACATCCAATAGACCAGAAAGAAACAGCTACCACTTAAACCAGTGCTTTAGGTGCCTGTAGGACAGCAGCAAGTCTGCAATAAAATCAGTTAATTTGCTGTGGCTGCTCAGAAATTGGTAAAGATTGTAGTAGTCCCTGTGGCTTGAGTACGGATACTGCATCTCCAATGACCTGCACATGGCCTCAAGCCTCCACCCTCCTTCCTTACAAAAAATACAGGCTCACCAAGGGAGGAAGTGGAATACTGAATAAAACCACAACCTAAAGTACCTTCCAAATAAGCCTTTAGGGCCGCTGTCTCTGGTGGACCGCCATCCTCTGGAGCCAAAAGGAGAGGAGCATCTGGGAACAGCTGAATGAAGCAATAACACAACCAGCAGGTTGCTGCTGGTTTTTGCTCATAACCATGCACAACAAAACAAAGCCTAAATTCTGTCAGCAATGCCCCTGAGATGCCCACAAATAGCTTGGGGGAGGCTGACTGGGTAACAGGGAGTTACTGGAACCCCCTCATGAGACCCTGCTGGCAGGAGTTCAAGCAATAGCAAATATGGGGCCAAGGACAGATGGATGCTGTATTTGCACACAAGCCTTCTCTACAAAATTTGCAGAAATCAGATTACTACAAGAGTTTCCTTTGAAGAAATACAAACACAACCTTGACACATGTTCAGAGATTTTCCTTTAGCTGCTTTTTATTTACTTATAAACCAAACCACATTTGTCTGCAACAAATTTTCTGTTCTGCAACAGAGGAAGGAGATATTCATTGGCTACCTTAAGCTGTAGTTTTACTCATATTGAGGCGTGGAACATCATAAACCTTATTTCAAGGCAGGGCAAAAAAAGATGAATGATGGTGACTGTCAGATCTCGAGTTTCCTTCTGGCAAAGCACACTAGGCTGAAAAAAAAATCAGACAAGGCATATGATCTGGCACATCTTTTAATATATTTTTTTGTCCTTCCAGGCACCCAGTGATAAGAAAGTGGCCTCGTAGCTACGAGTGGTTCTTCATGAAAATGAATATCGAGCACGTCTGGCTTCAGAGCTGGTATGGAGGTGTTTCTACCATTGCAGTAGAAGAGTATTTAAAAGCAGTTCCAAGTAAAGCTTGATTGGATGGGCTTTGAGGGAGAGATCTACGGCACTTCTTTTCTGAACACTTAAAAAATTTCACTCTGGATGGTTATTTTACAGTAATATATAGATTTTATTTTCAAAAGGCTTCAAAATAGCTCTGTCTTACGTGGAGCAGGGTGAAAATAAACCAACACAGACTTTCAAATTATAAAGGAGAGGTAGATAGCAGCCCTACCCTGCAATGTAGAAACACGTCATTTCAAACAGGCAATGTATCATCTTGAATGTTTTGTATCTGTTTGTTTAGACTTTTTTTTTTTTTTTTTGCCACTCACTAACTATAGTGTTCTGTTTCACAGAAAAGGCAAACTTGCCTATTCACAGCCCTCCATGTATCGTGGAAGTATTACTGCTGCTCAGTCTCTCCGTTTATAAGCACTCTCATCTAAACCTAATAACTGCACCATTAGATATTTAAGTTCTTAAAAGATTGTGCTAAAGCTGCTCTCGTTTGCTAACTTATATTTTCTACATGTATTTTTTCCTAATTGTCTAATTTAATATTTCACTTGGAAATAGAGTAGAAAGGCTCCAAAGACTTTTTGTGGAAAAAAATGCAGCTGCTCAAACAACACAACTTCAGTAGAACTTCTCTTCTACTGACACAAAGCTGGTTAAACATGTAAAGAGACAAAACCAAACCAGGCTCGTAGGGATTATCCCAATACAATTATAAACATTCTCCTAAGATATTAAGTATTCTCAGCTAGTCTGTTCCTGTTAGGAGACACAAAAAGTCTATCAACAGCCTGCAGTCCCACATTTTTTGCACTCCATCTCCAGCCACCACTTTATTTTTGACTCATTTATGCAATGGACTTTTGTAAACTCTCACCAACTAATCTAGGGATGGACCCAGTCCTTTAATTCTCATTTATTCCCTAAGGTTTAAAAGGTTTGTTCATGATTTTTTTTTTTTTTTAAAGAAGTCTGAAGATAGATAAATATTTCAGACCACAGAATGGCCTGGGTTGAAAAGGACCACAACGATCATCTAGTTTTAACCCTCCTGCTATGTGCAGGATCGCCAACCACTAGATCATCAAAATACTCATTTTCCTAGTGTGGAAAGTGCAAACTTGTTTACAAACTCACTGTGAATAGGCAGTGAATACGCATCTTATAAAATAATCTCAAAAGAGTACAAAGCAGTTTTAATAATCTTCATCCCTTTCTTGAGATGTGCTGGTAATCTTATTCTGCAATTCCTAATGGTGTGATAGTGAAAAAGATCCCATGGCTAGCTGGTCACATCATGACACAGTTTGAAAATTATATGGCTAGTCTCCCTGCTATGTTAAGAAAGAGGCAGATTGAGATGGCTTCCTCTGAATCCCTGGGAGGGAAGCAGAGCCTTTGGCACAAGCCCACATCAACGCAGGCGTGAGTAGTGTGGATTTCTCAGTGAGTGACCTGAGTTTTTACAGGTTAATCCCTGGCCAGAGCTCCAAGGCAGCTCAGGGAGCTGTGACCACCTGGAAGCCAATTAAGTGTAGCTGAGCTTCTTTTGGTTCAGGCATGAAAAAAGAACATTATTCTCTGAACAGACCTGGGCACCTTGCTGTTTTAACTTCCAGAGCTACTCAGATCTTGGCTTCAAGTCTGCAGGCATCACTAACATTCCTAATATTCTGTAAGAACTGAAGTAAGATGTGGGGAAAAACTTTCTTTAGACACTTGGTAAGCATTTTTTTCTTGTCTTATTGCCAGTGAATCTGCAGATCTCTTGCAGAGGTAATTACACAAGATGAGGAAGTGACCTGTCTGAATGCATTTCCCGTATTTTCTTGGCAGATGAACAGCATCCTCCCATCTAAATTTGCCCCCAGATCTGGTACTGTGTACTACTGAATCAAAATGGTTGGTCCTGTACAAATGTATAGAATACCATTCAATGAAATAATTCTTGATTTGAATAATTTTGCCATGGTCATCTTTGTGCACTATGGATTTGACACTGTCCACTAGGATTTATGGGACTTTCAAAATAGAGGTCAGTAGGCAGAGTTCTAGGCTCTCTAAGAGAATCTCCACAGATCCAACCTACACATTTCTGTGCAACTTTAATTAGACAGTTTGTCATTCTTGTTACTGCTATTCCTAGAGAAGCCTGAACTTCTCTCCCTCTGCCCCCCCCAAACCCACCCGCCCCACACACACACAGTGTGAGCAAATCCAGTGTTTAAGAAAGCTAAAGAACAGTGAGAATTTTAGAAATTTTCACTTCCATCCTTAGGCAGCTTGGTAACAGGGACATGGTCTTAGTATGTATTATCCATTACTAACACTTTTGCCTTAAAGCAGTGAGGGAGTGTGTCCACAATATTTAGATAAAGATCTTTAACTGTTTAAGAAGTGTGTGCTATAAGAAAGGTTTTGCATTTATTCTACTTGCTGTGTCCCCGCACATTTAGATTAATTGGAGATATATATTGTGTTATAAATTGACACATTCATCAGAGAGCTCTTCTAGACCAACAAGCCTTGAGATTCTTGACAGAAGCTCAAAACACAACGTAGGAATGGCATGTAAAGTGACAAAAGAGCCTTCATAAGGAAACACTGCTATAAATCACCTGTTCGCATTTCATGCTTTCTTCCTCCAAGGAATAGCTTCCATTAAAGTTCTTGAAAGTCTACATAAATTTATCAAAAATATGACGTGCAGATTTTTGAATGGAATTTTCCAGAGCACAAAAATGGGGAAGACACAGTCAATAATTTGTTTAACTGTGCTTTACATTATTAATTATGCACTACTTCCAATTTTTCCTTAAAGAGGCAAGTGTATCAAGTGGAATTGGTCGTCATATGCCAAGTGATGTTTGTAAAAGCTTTTAATCAAAAGAGTCTTACTAAGATAGCATAATGAGATCAGATTTCCCTGAGACTCATCTCACTTCAGCTTAAGTCGGTAGCAGAACTCCTATTTATTTATTGTGCTTTGATTATAAGATCAAAGAAACATTTTTAGAAAGTTTGGATAAGCCCTGACAAATGTATTAAGTATTTCAGCTAGCTGATGTGTAATACATTGCCTCGTGTTCTGTATTTTACTTATTTCGTTAGCTTCCCCAAAAACACTTGTTGCACAACACCTATTATTTAAAACTTTAACTGGGGTTTTGCAGTATTTAAGAGATGTATTTAATCATGTCTGTGTATTTGCTGAAAAAATGAAAGACAAAGTTCTGAATCCTGGGCTCAAATGTTTTGCTCAATTGTGCACACATCATGCATGCATAGTACTAAGCACAGCTAGTCTTAACTGCTGTTCTTATTTAACCAAAGAATACTCCATTACTGATGAAATTTTCATCACTTAGCTGGATGAAGTTCAGTATGTTTTATTTCTGGATGTGTACTGTAATCTGCAATGCATTTTGATTTCTAAAGATATGAATGTTAACAAAATGCCCATCAAGGACAAAATGCAAATAAAACAGTTTTCAAAGAGGAACTGCAGTTAGTATATCCTTAAGTGTGCAGGATGGCATGAGCCCGAGTAGCTTACTTTTTTTGACAGCTATTCAAATTACTGCTTTTTTCTGTTTTTCTGAACCAAGCTAATTTCTTCCAAAGCACTTCTGGGAACAGAGAATCAGATCTGTCTTGATGTAGCTTCACATCTCTCCAGGGTTGAAGCAGCTGGGCACCTTCTATCTTCCTTTCGTCTTCTCAGTTATATCAGCTCTGTTTTCAGCATGGCAATTAATTGTTATTATTAACAACAATCGTTGTTCCTTTCTGCCAGGAGACTGAGCCGGCACCTATCAGGTGTGCATTAATGGTGTTTTGGAAGATTCCTCATGCTATTTTTTCCACTGCTAGCCTTACTCTTGTAAGTTCTTGTTACAGCTTGTTCTTTTCTGTCTGCTTCCCTCTGGTGAGATTTCTTAAGCCCAGGCTGACAAGTTACCTTTTCATACTGTTTTCTCGCACCTCCTTTCAAGAAAATTCAAGCTCCTCCACTAAAGTCTCTACTTCATAAAAAAAAAAAAAAAAAAGGCATAGGGAACAGCCTGTGCTTCCTTCCTATTTACACCTTATCATCTTTGTCTCGTCATTGGTTGGACTTCATTCTCTGTGAAAATCACGACAATAGTTTCCTAACCTGTACAAACTATAATCAGCCTCATCTTCATGTTTCCAGTGACTCCATATTCTTTAAAGAACAATCCACACTGATGTTCCTTTCATTTTCACTTACTTACTTATTTTTTACCTCTATCCCTTTTCTGGAGCAATGTCTATTTTGATTACACTAAGTACCTTTCACTTTTTTTCCAAAAAATTCTCACTTGAACTACAGTTTTGGGTTCACTAAAAATACTGACTTTTTTTCAATCTGCTTTTTGCCAAACACCTTCTGGCTCCTTTGAAATTCTGTTGCTTGCTGTTCTTCAACACCATCCAGCCTCTATCTCCTCAGCTCTGCCACTAACTCCATTCACCATGTACCATCTAATATCCTCCAGCGTTTTCCTGTATTTTTTCCTTCATTAACTGTTCTTGCTGTTCAGATTTCTTCTCCACAGCCCCTTACTGCACTCCATAGATCTGTCCTGGCTGTCATCTTGACTTTGTTCCTTTGATCTTGTTCTCACAATGCTCAGTGCCTTTGGAGAAAGTCCCAAAACTATACTGCCAAGTATTTGGGGAGAATGCTTGAGTTACTTTAAAGAATAGTTTAGGGTTTAAGGTTTGGGTTTTTTGTTGTTTTTTGTTTTTTTTTGACTGGATTTATTTTACCACCAACTCTGAACCAGAATGTGGAGCACAATGGCCTTGATGCTGACAGAGCAGAGCAGTCCTGCTGGCACCAAGGGCTTATTGAACTCAAGGCCTTTGTCCGAGTACACCCTCCTCAGAAAGTAGGCCAGGCACTGCCAGATCTACAGTCACGATTAGGAAGAAGACTCTGCAGAGATCTGTCAACATGGTTGGTCAGTGCATGTAGCTAACTGTGATGACGCAACGACTGTTGACTTTTCAAGGAAAATCGAATGTGTGAGATTGTTCAAAAAGGCTGATGAAAAGCTGATCCATTTCAGTAGCTGCAAAAGTATGCAGAAAGCTTCATAGAAGGCTTAATTAAGGTTGGAAAAGACCTCTCTGATCAGCTAGTCCAACCAGCAGCCCATCCCCACCATGCCCACTGACCACATCCCTCAGTGCCACATCCACACAGTTTAGGAACGCCTCCAGGGACGGTGACTGCACCACCTCCCTGTGCAGCCTGTGCCACTGCCTCACTGCTCCTTTCGAGAAGCACAGTTTCCTAATATCCAACCTGGAATACCCAGCAGTCTGCCCAAGGCGGTGGCAGAGTCACTGTTCCCAAACGTGCCGTTGTGCCGAAAGAGGCCTCTCTTATCTCAACTTTTAGCTTTAGTGACTGCCTTCCCCTCCCCTGCCCTGCCCCACACCGCGCTCTATTTCTGGCAGCCTCCAAGCGTACCTGCTGCTGTCCCTCCCCGCTTCCTGCCCCGCAGCCCGCCTCTCCCCAGGGAGGACGCTTATTCTACCCTCCAACGTGGGCGAGGAAAAGGGTGGAGGCGATGACTCATTCCATTCACGCATGTACCACTGGGCTCGACTGACCGGACTTTATTTTAAAAATAGTTATCTCCGGCTAGGGCCAAAGGAAAACAACAACACTGGAGGACGTGCCGGTGCGGGGCGATGGCACGCGTGGTGCTACAGGAGCAGCTATCAGCACGGGAAGCTCCTCCGCCCTGAGGCTTCCCCAGGGCTGACCCGGGGAGCGGAGTGAACACTGAGGCAGCCCGAGCCGAGCCGAGCCGAGCCGAGCCGAGCCGAGCCGAGCCGAGCCGAGCCGAGCGAAGCGGGAGGGCTGGAACCGAGGCGCCCCCTCCCAGCCGCCGTTCCCGGGGTGGGCGGTGCCCTCCCGGCATCCCCCGGGGCGGAGCGGATGGGCGCGTGCGCGGGCGGCAGGTCCGGCCTCCGCCTCGCCATTAGCGGCGCCGGCGGCTCGGCTCCGCCCGGGGCGGGGAGCGGGCGGCGAAAGGGCTCACCTGCGCGGCGGCGGGGCCAGAGCCGGAGCCGGGTGCGGGGCCGAGCGAGGCGACAGCGGGGGCCTCCTTTTGTATTTTCTCCCCGTCTTCGCTCTCTCGCCTCCCCCGTGCGCTGCGCCCCGTTGAGCCGTCCCGGCGTGGCGGCGGCGGCCGGGCCATGGTGCGGCGCGCCCGGCTGGCGCTGGTGGCGGCGGCGCTGGTGGCGCTGGGGGCGCCGGGCGGGCAGGGAGCCCGGGCGCTGGAGTGGTACACGGCGTGGGTGAGCACGAGCTACGTGGAGCCGCTCAGCAACCGCACGGTGCGGGGCAACACGGAGAGCGGCCGCTACGGGGACAGCTCGCCCAAGGAGGGCGCGCAGGGCCACGTGGGCATCCCCCGAGGCGCCTCGCCCCGCCACATGGAGGGCTGCGCCGCCGACACCGACTACGACGTGCCGCTGCCCGCCGGCGGCCGCCCGGCGCCCGACGGGGACCCGCCGCCATGGATCGCGCTGGTGGCCCGCGGCGGCTGCACGTTCAAGGACAAGATCACCAACGCGGCCAGGAAGCGGGCGACGGCCGTGGTCATCTACAACGAGGCCCGCTTCGGGAACAGCACCGTCTCCATGTCCCACCTCGGTGAGCGGGGAGGAGGCGGCTTTGTCTGAGGGACGGCGGGCAGGCGAGGGGGGGAAGCGGCCCTCGCGGTGACGCCGCGAAGAGCCGGTTGTAGCCTCCTCCGCTCCGTCCCTTAAATCGCCGCTGAGGGCAGGGTTTGCTTGAGGCCGTGGTTCTGTTAGCCCGCACCGTGCGGCAGCCGGGGCAGCTGGGCTGTGCTGAGCGCCTCGGGGCGCCGCGGTGCCTCGGCGCGCACAGCCGCGGCTCTGCTCTGCTCGGCGTCCTCTCCCGTGCGGCTCTGTGAGGACTGGGAGGAAGGTAAGCGTGCTTCCAGCTTGGGGATGAGGTGAGAAAACTGATGCCTAGAGAAAAACGTCGAGTGGGCTTGTTTGAGCGCGCTTATCTCTAGCCGTGCTGACTGCAGTTGTCAGAGCTGGGATGGATGCTGCAGCTGCGGCTCGACCTGTGCCTAAAGTGCAGTGCTGGCTTAACAGATGTGACAAGGAGAAGGTCCTCGAAGCTCTCCTATAAAAATCTGTTAGCGTTTGTAGGCTTCTGAGGAACTGGAGGGTCTTAGAAAAGATAGAAAGGTGAAGCAAATCATGCCAAAAGTATCAGCAGTGTGTGTTCCTGGTGTGATGAGCTGGTTAGTGGGCAGGCTGTCCTGGTGGTGAGGAAGGGGAGGACCAGGGATTTGGTTGAAGTAGAACTGTAAGGTGTTTCTGCAGAAAACAGTGTTACTTGAATGTGGCAAGCTGCAAATTGCCTCACAGCATACTGGGGGAAAGGTAGCTCCTGCTGGCACAGCTAGGACTGTGATCACTGTTCCTTCTTGCCTGCTGCATGTTCGAGTAGGCCATGGAATCATAAAGGCTGGAAAAGACCTCTAAGATCCTCTAGTCCAGCTGGCAGCCCACCCCCACCATGCCCACTGACCACGTCCCTCAGTGCCACATCCACTCGTTTATTGAACACCTCCAGGGATGGTGACTGCACCACCTCCCAGGGGAGCCTGTGCCACTGCATCACTGCTCTTTCTGACAGAAGATTTTTCCTAATGTCCAACCTGAACCTCTCATGGTGCAACTTGAGGCCATTCCTTCTTGTCCTATTGCTGTTACCTGAGAGAAGAGGCTGACCTCCACCTTACCACAACCTCCTTTCACATCATTGTAGTGTATGATGAGATCTCTCCTGAGCCTTTTCTTCTCCATTCTGAACAATATCAGTTCCTTCAACTGCTCCCTTTGAAAGTTGTGCTCCAAACAGTTCTTTACCTGCTGTGAAAGAAAGGGTGGGCTGCTAGGTAAGGTGCATTCTGATTTAGGTCCTGTGTGGCAGTAAAGGTTCTTTCTTTTTCAACTATTTTGTTATTTGCTCATTTTTCTTTTATTCTTGCTGCCGCTTTGGTTGATAAGTACAATTTTTTTTTGTCTTGTGAGAATTTCTTGCATTCCACTTAATGCACTGTCATAGCCTCTTATGAATATTTGTTTTTTTTTCTGTGAAATCTTTCTTATCTTGCTTATTTCTTTTTTTTTTCCTGTCATCTCTATGCAGTG